TGGCGCTGAGCCACAGAGGGCCCATGTGGCGAGGCCTGGTGAGCGGACGCCCACAAGGTGGCGCTGGTGAGACCAGAACGAGACCACGGATAAAGGAGAAGAGCCACGGAGCAGAGGGCAAACACCCCTCATCGCCCAGCGCCGGACCCCGCTCTTGGGAACTGGGAAAGGCCTCCTGGGCTGAAATTCGGGGAATAGGAGGGACCTGAGCTGAACTGGTTTCAGCTCCCAGTGAGACTTGAAATAAGCTTTACAAAAATAAAGAAAATGATATGCCGTGTACATGAGTTTGGGAACTAAATGTGGAACCCACTCTCCATAGCAAAGTCTGTGTGTGGCGCCGGGCAAGGGTCCAGGGACGGGTTAACTACTCCTGAAACGCAGCCCCAGGTGGGCGTGGGTCCCCCCGGGTGGCCTCCAGGGAGCGGCCTGGGCCCCCGAGTTTCCCAGTTTACTAAGCGGGTGTGGACACGATCCCAGAAGCAAGCTTAAGCGCCGCTGGAACGGAGCCAGCGCAGAGAAGGCCGCGCAGGTGACTTCCATCTGCACGGTGCCACAGGGAGATTTCCCACGTGCAAGGCACGACTTTAGTAATGCGGTCACAGCACATCGCAAAGGGGCCACCAGGCTTCACTTACAAACAATCCCAGGAGAATGTAGTTCGCAGGCACCTGGCGGCGGAGCTTCTCACAGCAGGCGAGCACGATGAGCACCCCGAAGAATGCGGGGCTGCGGACCGTTTAAAATCAGGTGTCATTTGCGTCCAATGATCATATCACGTGACACAGGTGGATAGAGACAGAGATGTCATTATATATTAATACCTGATAATAAGTTTTATAAAGTTAACCAAAGTGTGGATTATCATCTTTACCTCTTTTTTTTTTTTAACTTTTAAAACTAACTTTTCTCATTGCTATCCACAGGTAGTTTGTGGGCTCTTTTAACATTTTTTTTTTATTTTGAAATAATTGTGAATTCATTGGAAGTTGCCGAGAGGCAGAGGGGCACCCTTTACTTCGTTTCCCTTTATGGTTCCATCTCACATTATTTATAGTCTATAATACTAATGCCAGAGCCAGTAATTTGATACTGTACAGTGTGGGTATATAGCGCTCTGCATAGGACTATGGCATAAATCTATGTGCAGATACATGTAACCAGCACCACAATCAAGACATGAAACTATCCCATCATTAGAACATTAACAAAGGTCTCCCTGTGCTATCCCTTTATGGTAACACACACACACACACACACACACACACACACACACACACTCACACCTGCTTCTGGCAACCACCAACCACCTAATTCTGGCAACCACCAACTTGCTTGTTTTCCATGTCTATAATTTTGTCATTTCAAGAATGTTATGTCTGTAGGGAGTCTGTGTGTGAGTGGAGACGGAGGAGGGGATGGGAGGGGATTTAAAATGATAGAGAATGCCCAAACCGGTTTGGCTCAGTGGATAGAGCGTCGGCCTGCGGACCGAAAGGTCCCAGGTTCGATTCCGGTCAAGGGCATGTACCTGGGTTGCGGGCACACCCCCAGTAGGAGATGTGCAGGAGGCAGCTAATCGATGTTTCTCTCTCATCGATGTTTCTGACTCTCTGTCTCTCTCCCTTCCTCTCTGTGAAAAATCAATAAAATATATTTTTAAAAAAATGATAGAGAAAAAGAAATAGCTATAAAAAAAGAACATCTCTGCTTAATTTTTAAATGAAGAACCTTGATCAATAGCTAGTAGAAAAAAACCCACTTTTTATTAAATCCAATAATACTTACAAGATTGCATAAGTGAACCAGGGATTCTTGTGCACCCAGTTTTTTAAACCTAGCCTGGTTAAAAAAAAAAGTCAATAGTTTTACTCAAGAAGTACTTATTAATTTTGCTAACTAATGTAATACTTAAGTAGAATTAAAACCATCTCACGAGAAGGGGGAAACTCTAAATGACTGACAGTGACAGAGGTGAACCACTCAGCGTCTCATTAGCATCAGCAGAGAAGACTTACCAGAAAATAAATACAGCGATGATTGCCCCAGTGACCATCAGCTGAGCAGACAGGAGGAGGAACACTTTTACAATGAAACCTGAGGAGACAGAAATGTTATTTTCATGATGTAATCTTCAAAAGTAGTGATTGAAGTGCAATGACCTCTCTTTGATACTTAACCAAAGAAATGTTTCCCTGGCTGTTGGAGGCTGGGAGAGGAGCGCTGGCTTTGACCCAGCGGACTGAATGAGGACAGCTCTGCAGGCCCGTCTGAGTGTTTCATTGGAGGCCTGAGGGTGTATGCCTGGAAGCCCCAACATTTTAAAGGCAAACTCGGGAATGGAGTACCCTCTGAGGCACACCCTGTCCTCTCAGGCCCCAAAGTGATCTGAAAGGCCCAGGGGGGTCCAGCCACACCCGTGGGCAAAATGGAGACCAGAGAAGCCTGCAGGAACGCTGGCAGAGCGGGGTGTGTCCCCCTGGGGCGTGGCCGTGGCCTTGGGCTGCGGGGAGTTGGCAGCTTTTCCACCACGTTTCTCTCCCACCACCTGCCGTGAGCCACTCCCTTCCCGGCTACCTGAGCAGAAACTAGGTAACCTGATGGATTGTGAGCCGGACCAAGGAGCCCCCACGAGTGGCCTCCCACGTGTGGCCTCCCACCAGTGGCCTCCCACGTGTGGCCTCCCACGGCAGAGCACCGAGGCCTCTCTGTTGCCTGCTTCCTGCTGCGCAGCTGTTCCTGGGGCCTCTGGGGGGGGGGGGGTGCTGGCAACGACAAGTTACCTTCGGTGGTTTTATGCCAGTTTTAAAAGGAAAAAAAGAAATGCTGCTTAAAGTTGACTTAGCTGTGGTTCTCAACCTGTGGGTCGTGACCCCTTTGGGGGTCGATCGCCTAAGACCATCCTGCATATCAGATATTTACATTACGATTCATAACAGTAGCAACATTACAGTTATGAAGTAGCAACGAAAATAATTTTATGGTTGGGTCACAACATGAGGAACTGTATTTAAAGGGCCAGAAGGTTGAGAACCACTGACTTAGAGGCTCACAACTGTGTCCTTTTGCTGGGTTGTTTCTGGGCAGAGGAGGTGTGACTGCGGCAAAATGGGCCTGAGCTACCTTAATGAAAATGCCAGAACGTATTTACCCAAATGTGCGCTGCCTACATTAAAATAGTCCTATCAACTATGTATGTATCAGGATCTGTGAAAGAATGAATATTAAATGGCCTGCCTCATGAGACTAGGCGTGCAGATGGTGGAATAGAATTGAAAGTCCAGAAATAATTGTTGAGAACGTATGGTCTGCAACAGCATGGATGGAACTGGAGAGCATTATGCTAGGCAAAATAAGCCAGTCAGAGAAAGAGGAATAGCACATGATCTCACTCGTTTGTGGAATATAATGAACATAAACTGATGAACAAAAACAGATCCACAGCCACTTCAGTTACAGGGCCAAGTGGGCTCAATACAGTGACCTTCCCCTGGCGCAACCCCCGGGAAAAAGGACTGGCACCCATGGCAGCGGTGGCTGGTTGCCCAGGGACATCTATTCTCCCCCATTACCTCACTATCTAACCTAGATCTTGTTACTGGTGGCAATACAAGTGGCAATACAGGTGGCAATGGACCCAACTGAAAAACTGCAGAGGGAGGTGGTCACGTGGGCCAGGTGGAGTCAATGACGTGAGTTGGAAACTCGTGGGTGTGGTTTCTGGGAAAGCCTCTGAACAGAGGTCAGATTTGGAGGACACTCGGGGCATCCATTCGTCCATGGCAGCCCTGGTGTTGTTTTTTCCTCTTTCCCGACCTGGAAGGCTAGATAGAGCTCCAACAGGCATCTCTCTAGCCACAAGGAGGGCGAGGGCCAGCAATGACATCCAAGCTCTACCCGTCCGGGCCCTAACAAGGCCCAACGGTGGCAAAGGGGTCACGGGGACCTGCGGCATTTGCCTTGAATTTTTTACCCTTGAACTTCATATTTCATCAAAGAAAAATACTTCTCATTTATTTACTAAGCCACCGTTTTTAAGTTTCTTTACTCACAGCTAAATGTACTTCCTATACAGAATTAATATCGAAGGCGTTGAGTTCATATTCTTTAAAACTCAAGCCAATACTATGGTATTCACATTGTATACAGTTAAGGACATTCGACCATCAATGACTAATTCATAATTCCTAAGAAAACCACACGCTTTTCACTACAATATGTTTACTAGGATTTTCTGAATGCTCTGGACAACTTGGGGGTGGTCTGTCCACAGCAGCCCTACCCCTTGTTTCACGGAAAAGCCTGGCTGGGAAAAACTAAAAGCAAAATTCAATCTCTGTGAAAACATTTTAAGAGAACATTTGCTTTTCTCTCCCAGAGAGGAAATGTCTTTGTTCTCACCTCTGCGGATAGATGCTTCTGAGAATGGGTTGGCTTCAGCATTGCTCTCTTCAGGGGTAGCCTCCTCTGAAATTTCCACCACGTAGAAATCTGCTCGCTGGTTGGTCTTTGGTTTTGGTTTCCCTTGTGTTTGGTTGGGCCCAGGTGAAGGTGGCGTTGCCTTGGTCTCTTTAGGTTCGGGCTGGGTGCTCTCGTCTCCTGCTTTCCGGACCAGATGCTGGTGATCTCCGGTACTGAAGTCTACTGGCTCGCTGACCTCCAAGTCCATTTCCCTGAAGGGGAAGATGGTTATTCGGGTCCTTATGGTCATACCACTGCAACCATAACATTCAAATGTTTTCCCCTTATTTTAGCCCCCATGGCTCAGTACTTACAAAGTCAGTGCTCATTGACTGAATGATGAACGCTTTTAAGATGACACCTGTGGAGTAAGACTACTTGCATTCTATTGTGAAATTACATTCATTCGGCAAGGAGTTTAAGTTCCCTCTTCTGTGCCAAGTGCGGAGCTGCCCTCATCACTCACCTCTGCCCTCTGAGAGCTTACATGTGGAAGAGAAGAGAACCAAACAAACAATAGTATTTTGGGGCCAGGAACCATGGAGGATGGCACCGCAGCCTCTAACAAAGTCTGGAAGAACATGCAAGGAGTAGAAGAGGTTGTCGGAAGCTTCCAGAAAAGGCCAAGGCTGCAGATGAGTGGGAGTTAGTCAGGTGAAGAGGCGGGGAAAGGTTTGCCAGGCAGCGGAGTCAGCCTGGACCAGGACTGGAGGAGCAGAAAGGGCAGGTTTCAGAAATTAAAAGTTCATGTGGCTGGGGCAGGGAGTTCAAAGGAGAGAGTAGAACGGGCTTAAGCAGAGGACCAGTGGGGCAGGTCACTGGTGGGCTGGCAAGGCCATGGCTGTGGTAGGCGGAGTAATGTCCACATCCTAATCCCTGGAACCTGTGAATATGGTACCTCACGTGGCAAAAGGAAAGTTGCAGATGCGGTTAAGTTAAGAGCTTTGAGGTGGGATAGGATCCTGGATTATCTGGGTGAGCCCAGTAGAATCACAGGGGTGATTCTTATGATCATACTTACCAGGGGGAGGCAGGGGGACCAGAGCCAGAGAAGGATATATGACAACAGAAGCAGGGGTCAGAGCGATGCAGTTGCTGTCTTTGAAGATGAAGGAAGGGGCCATGAGTCAAGAAATGGAGGCGGCCTCTAGAAGTTGGAAACAGAGGGAAACGTATCCTCTCCCAGAGCCCCCAGAAAGGAATGCAGCCCTATTGACACCTTGATTCTATCGCAGCGAGACTGATTTTGGACTTCTGACTTCCAGACAAGAAGTAAGCATTGTTTTAAGGCATTATGTTTGTAGTAATTTGTTACAGCAGCAATAGTAACTAATAGAACAGGGAATCACTATGGGGTTTCCAGGAGGGGACACAGGGACTTGACTAGAGAGATTACACTGGGCCCAGCATGGAGAATGAGCCAGAGGAGGCAAAAGTGGAATCAGAGAGACCAGAAATCACTCTGGCTGGTTTGGTTCAGTGGATAGAGCATTGGCCTGCGGCCTAAAGGGTCCCAGCTTCGATTCTGGTCAAAGGCACATGCAGGGGTTGTGGGCTTGATCCCCAGTAGGGGGCGTGCAGGAGGCAGCCAATGAATGATTCTCTCTCATCATTGATGTTTATATCTCTCTCCCTCTCCCTTTCTCTCTGAAATCAATAAAAATGTATTTTAAAAAAAGAGAGACCAGAGGAGATCATGGTGGGCTTTGCCACGGTGGTTTGCAGTGGAACACAGTTCTTAGAAAACCAGTACTAAACAGGGCAAAAATGGCAAAAGAGAAGGTACCCATGAGCCTCCTGGGGACAAGAAGACTTAGACAAACCCCTGCTGCTGGCCTCCTGGCCCCAGAGAGAGCCAAGGAGGAGTCTGAAAAGGAGACGGCTGAGATGGCCAGGGCTTAACGGAATGTTTGTAAATAGGTCTGAACAACCATGCTCTTGGAGAGGCAGACATTTTGTAAAGATGTCCCTTCTCAAAATAATCTGTAAAGTTTTACAAAACTTATTGGGATTTTTTTTCAGTACTTGAAAACGTAATTTGAAAATGTAAAGTTCATCAAAAAGAGTAAATGTATGAGAATAATCAAGAGAAAAATTGAAAGAGGAGAAGTGATTTGCCTTATCAGAAATCAAAATATCCTAAAGGTATGTAATTAAAAGTGTGGCCCTACCTGAAAACAAAAAAAAGGGTGGCCCTAGCTGGTTTGGCTCAGTGCATAGAGCATTGGCCTGCAAACCGAAGGGTCCCGGATTTGATTCCTGTCAAGGGCATGTACCTCGGTTGCAGACTCCTCACCAGCCTGGGCCCTGGTCAGGGCATGTGCAGGAGGCAGCTAATCAATGTGTTTCTCTCACATTGATATTTCTGTTTTTCTTTTCTTTTTTTTTTTTTTTAAATATATTTTATTGATTTTTTACAGAGAGAAAGGGAGAGAGATAGAGAACTAGAAACATCGATCAGCTGCCTCCCGCAACACCTCCCACCGGGGATGCGCCCGCAACCCAGGCACATGCCCTTCACCGGAATCGAACCTGGGACCTTCCAGTCCGCAGGCCGACGCTCTATCCACTGAGCCAAACCGGTCTCGGCACTCTCACATTGATATTTCTGTCTTTCCCTCTCTCTTCTACTCTCTCTAAAAATCAACGGAAAAATATCCTCAGGTGAAGATTAAAAAAAAAAAAAGTGTGGAGTTTGCATAACAATGGATGAATGGATCAATGGGATGGAAGAGATTCAAAAAATAGAGTCATGTATAATGAGAATTTAATATTTGATAAAAGTGATATTTTAAGTTATTGTCCCAAGATGCTGGAAAACAAAGATTAGTAACTATTTCACATCTTTTACAAAAAGCATTCCAGATGAATTAAAGATACTATCATAAATAATAATAGCCATAGATATTGGAGAGGATGTGGAGAAAAAGGAACACTCGTGCACTGCTGGTGGGAATGCAGACTGGTGCAGCCACTATGGAAGACAGTATGGAGTTTCCTCAAAAAACTAAAAATGGAACTCCCATTTGACCCTGTGATTCCACTTCTAGGAATATATCCCAAGAAACCAGAAACACCAATCAGAAAGGATT